CGTCCAGCGACAGTACCAGCAGGCACGCAAGCTAGTCAACGAGGCGCTGCACGCCGCGATCGAAGGAAGAGCAGATCAGCACAACGAAGATGCGAGTTCGCATGACATAAAAGCAGGAGATCAAGTATGGCTATATTTAGATCGAGTTAAGGAAAGTTATGCTCGCAAGCTTGCGCATATGTGGCATCGACCTTTCAGAGTCACGGGGACAGTCGATCGACACGCAGTGTGTTTGGAGACACCCTGCACAGCGTACAGACTATTTCCAATCGTCCATGTGTCAAAGCGGAAGCTGGTGAAGAGTTACCCAGAGCGCCCAACATCCACGCAGACGAACCGCGAAGCAAATCGCGTAGACTTCGACGAAGGCTTGCTGCCCGAAGACAGCTGGGAACGCGAGCTTGAAGAGGATTAGTACGAGGTGGAACGGATTGCAGGTGTGCGCTCGAGCAAGAAGACTCGATACGAGCGTACACGACGTGAATACCTGGTTTTCTGGAAGAGCCGTCATGGGTCGATGAGCCTGATCTCAACTCTGGTGCGTTGCTAAGAGACTTCGACCGGGGACAACCAGATCGCAACCGGTTTGAGGTGATGCAGTCGCATCAGCAGTAAATGGTGGAACATCTGCGGTGGGTTGTCCACCGTGGAGAAGTGAGAGGAAGAAGGATCTGCAGGAAGGCTGCAGATTTCAAGGAGTAGGTGGTGCATATGACGTACCGTGGGCCTGAATAGGCCGGAAAAGCTAGGCAATACACCCTAAAAAATCCCGGAAGAATGCATGGATTAAGTCGGGTTAGATCGGACGGGACCTACTTGACGAGCGCTAAAACCTACAAGTTGCTAGCCAACACAAAACGGCAGGACCCGATCAGGAAGAGGAGGACACGAACTTGCCAGGCAAACGAGCGATCTCAAGCGCTGGATGGTTTCCTGGCACGTCTCGATAGTGGTTGCGCCAGCGATCAGCCGCATCCGTAATGGCCAACGCCTCCAGTAGATCTGCGGGATCGGCTCCGCCGTCAATTCCAGGGTACCAAGCCTCTGCTTCGCCAGGTCGAGGGAATTGCAGAAAGAAGGGATCCAGCAACAAGTCGAGGTCGCAGTAACCCCGGAGCAAGCTGATCGAAGGAACGATTTCTACGGGGCACCGGTCCTGGATCGATGCTGCTTGCGATCAGTATAGCACGCCTTCAAGTACCGATTCGCGCGACGCTTGGCGATGCTCACCGGAAAGGCGTGAGTGTACAGTCGCATCATGTGTCGAAACCAACCTCGATCCTGAAACGCGAGAGGATCAATCTTGGCAGCAAGGATCTCCCACGGGGCAGACTCGATCAAGCCGCGTACGTTGCTCTCGTCCATCAGATCGTCTCGCCATTCTCCAAGCGGAGGCACGGAGTCGTGAAGACGAATGAGCCACTCCATCGGTTTGGCGAAGTAATGAAATAGCAGACCCGCGTCCATCTCCGCTATACTTGTCTGACGAATATCCTGCGCAGACCAGGGGACGAAATCATGACTGCGGAAGCTACGACGGTCACGATAACCGGGGAGCCACTCCGATCGGGGAGCCGTGGTAGGCACTAGATTCGCCAGCTTGGCGTCCGAAAGAGGCCGGGTGGCATTCCAAACTGGTCTTTAGCGCGACTCAACTCGGAGAACCGCTGTCGATTCCCACGGCGTCCGAGTCTAAGACGCGAGAAGAACTGAATTTGCCGGAAGAGCTCTCGCCACCGTCGGAATGCGCGCCCGCATCGGAAACGGCAGGCGAAAACGAAGCACCCCCGTGGCTACCCTTGGCGGTCGATCGAGCAGATCGAGGAATATGATCAGGAGGGCCAGCGAACGGAGGAAACGATGCCGGCCCCTCAGACTTCTGGCCGGCAGCCACAGCAGACAATACTTCGATCGAAAATGTAGACGCAGGCCCTGACTCAGAGCGCCAGCCGGGAAGGGACCTGAAGTCGATCTAGCGGCCTTGGAGACGCGGTCAGACTGAGCTGGAGACGCGGCCTTAGAGCGTGCTCGCTTGTGGCTCGG